AAACTGGAACTGACATTAAAAGCAGGTGATGATGTCATTAGGTGTGAGCACATTGATAGAAGCTGAGGGCTGTCTTTGCAGTAAAAACATTGGAATTGAATAAAACAGCCTGTATTTCTTGGTGTAAATATGAAGTGTTGTTACTTGTTTGAATGACTGATCCATGTGTCTGTTTGAAAGAACTGACTAGCTATAAGTTCAAGTGCATTCTCTGTATTTCTGTGTATTACTTTTCCATCAACTATTACCTTTTTTAATGTTTGGTTTGTAAAGTCTTGGAGCACATAAAAGATCAGCCACTTTGATGTTGGCCTGATGAAGAGGAATGGAAACAGTTGTGCATTTCTCATGAGCAATAGGTATTATTCAGCATGATAGCACAAAAGCTTGCTGAGGATGTTTAGGGGTGGGGGTGATTGGTTGGTTGGTTTTATTTTCCAGCAGGCCATACCTCACGCTGAGGTCTTCATCAGACATAGCTTTGAAATGTACCAAGTAGATTTTATTACATTATTGCAGAATTATTTTGTAATTGCCAAAAGTTTATCTTGCCTTTTCTTTTGTCTGATTGGGTTTTCTGTCATTCTATAGGGTCCCAAACTCCTTCCAAAGTATCAAGTAAATACCTTTCTCACAACTCATGGTTTTCTGGATGTTCACCTCTTCAAAAAGGTAAAGAGTGGACTACTATATTTACTGAAAAAAAGAATATATTTTTCATCAGAAGTATCAACACCATATTTCTATACAGTTGGTAAGTAACATTAGTTTTTTAAACTAATTAAATGTGTACTTATGCTATCAAAAATTCCATGTATTTTCTAGAAATAGAAAAAAAAATATTCCCTTTGTTTGCATCCTTAACTGTGCAAATATGGAAAAAGTACACTGGAATGCAAAGAAGGCTCTGTGGAAGGTTTGAAATAGGAACTTTAACTTTGCACTTACAGTACATGCAGCAAATACCATACCTGTACCATTAATGAAGCTACAGGCCTTGGCCTGGCTTTTACAATTGTTTATGAATCTGGACACAAGCAAGTTATTTTTCTTGAGTTCTACCTGCCCCTTTTATAGATAAATATGTAAGTGAATGGGACACTTTTCTGCAACCCAGTCTAGGAAACCCCTGCTAGCAGGTGGTTTGACCAGATGATCTCCAGATGTCTCTTCCAATCCCTACAATTCTATGTAATTTTCGAAGTGACTTTTAACAAGGAGAGAAAATAACTGCAATGTTTACTCACCTGGACTGCTCTGAAAATAGCTGCTAACTCAGCTGTAATTTATTTTTACTGCCAGCTTCCCTTTTCCTTGTAAACAATTGTTTTCATTTAAAGCAAAATGAAATGCCACCATGGCAATTGCCTAATCTTTCTGCTTTGGTGGTGAGTAATGAAAGGGAGAGCTGGAGGGCTGGCAGCTCAGAGCATGAAAATCACAGTAAGATGTTTGTTACATGAAATGGGTTTTAATTTCTCTCATGATTTCATCTATACTAGATATTGAGATTAAATTAGATGAAGAAGGCTTTATGTTGCCTGCTACTCAATGTGAAGAAGTACACACACGGTAAGAGAATAAAACATGCCACAGGTAAAATGCTGGTTAACACTGGTAAAGAGTATCCAGGGTAAACCTCTGGCAAAAATAAAGTTACTTGGAATTTTGCATTGATCTCAACAACATCAAAGTTTCACATTACAACCAAAGGCAAAAAAAGACAAAGCTGGTAAAATGAGAGATCTGTACTTTTTCTTCACTGTCTTGCCTCCTGACTACAAGGTGTTAGATAATTAGTCCCTCTACCCAGTGACAGTTAGGATCAAAGAGGTGTTGGTCTGACTTATGTTAATCTATTTTGATCATGTTTAATTATTTTGCAAATTAAAATCAAATTAATTGGGAGTGCCTGCAAGGATTTAGCACAGTCTTTATCAGTTTTACTTCACAAATACACTTCTCTAATAGATCCTCTGAAGTAAGATTATTTGCCACAGATGCCATTTGCATCAAAAAATGCATACATATTTAAAAGAACAAGCTAAACACGGATTCTTTTGAGAATCCCTAGATATAAATTTGGGCACCCTTCCTGTGCTGTGGTTGCAACTGCAACCAAGTAGGAAAAAACATGGTTGCAGTCCATGATGCTTGCCAACCACATATACAGGTTTAATTTGAATCACTAATATATTGAATAAATTTAGCTGCTAGATATTTCCAACATGAGACAAGTATTTTGCTTGTTTCTCCTGCTGGAAGAATTCAAAACAGCTTACCAATAGTAGTGTTAAAACTATCAAATTCTTATCATTAACTTGTGTGGAGATTTTTGTTTAGAGCATATAAGTTTGCTTTTCAGATAAGTTCTGCTAAACTTCAGTCTTTCCCCTCCTTCCCTCTGAGTAATTTATACTGTCCTAAAGTAGGCAAATCCCATCCTGCATTTAATTCTAGGAGGCGTTTGGGAATAAGAGGAGGTACTGTCTCATTCTTGTTAGGAATTACAGCAATTCTAGTGACTAAGTGAACTGACTTTTCTTCTGTGCTTGATTTTAGAATTGCTCTCTGTGTTGATGGTCAAAATAGGTTTTGTGTTAATAGCCATAATCTGCTGGGAGAAGAAGCTATTAAACAGAGGCATCTTCAGTTACTTGGTTATAAAGTTGTACAGGTAAAGTCCCCTGACAGTTTTTACTCTGGCTAACAAAACAAGTGAAAAATGATTCTTATGTAATGTTTAAAACTGTAGTTGCAATCACTTCCTAAGATAGGTATAATACTGCTCTTTCTACATGATGTTCTCTTTGCCTAGATTTTGCCTATTTGAGAGTTCATTACATAAATTCTTTTTTTTCTTGGATGAGTTAGTACTTTCTGCCTATACAAATAGTGACTGCTTGAAAGAATATTTATCTGCACTGATGATAGTTCAAATTTTGACTTAACTGAAAGCATTAAACAGTTTGGAAGGATCATGGAGTGGAAGTGACCCTGCCATGGGCAGAGACACCTGCTAGAACAGGTTGCCCAAGGCCCCATCCAGCGTGGCCTCAAACACTTCCAACACAACTCTGGGCAACATCTTCCAGCACCTCACCACCCTCTGTGTGAAGAGCTTCTTCCATAGATTTAATCTAAATCTACCCTACTTTAGCTTAAAACTGTTACTCCTTATCCTGTCACTGATAAGAATCTGTCTCGAGCTTTCTTGTAGGCCCTTTTAGTTACAAGAAGGTCACTATAAGTCTGCTTGGAGAACTTCTTTTCTCTTGGCTGAACAGCCCTAATTCTCTCAGCCTGTGTAGGAGAGGTGCTCCAGCCCTCTGACATCTTCCCAGCTCCCTTCTGGATGCACTAAAAAGGTTGGGAGTTTTCAGTTCAAAATCTGAATTTGGAGTTTAGAAACAAGATATAAAAAAAGAAAAAAAGGAACTGCTTTATATCAGAAATAACATTTTTTCCAAAGCAGAGTGTATCCTTTATTTTTCCTGTTGAAATAAATAGGGATATATTTACCTATGAGCACATGCTAGACTTTCACGTTTTGGTAAGCTTTTTCCCTTTATAAGCACTTAGCACATAAGCCTAACTACTTTGTATTTAACTTAGTTTAAACTGTAATAAACATCACTATTTGCTTTGCAGTAACCTCTATTCATTTCCCCCAAGACTTACAGATCAGTAATAAACTTAGGAGTAAATGTTTTATTTTAAAATGCAACTCTGATGTGTAATTGCATGTCTATTTAATCAATGTTAAACTTACTCTTTTTGTTTATTAAAATATATTTCCAGCAATCATTTTGGTTTCATTTCCAGGTTCCATTTTTTGAAGTAGAAAGTATAAAATCTTGCAGAAAAATGGCAGAATATCTACACAAAAAAATCTTTCCTCATACATATGGACATGGCTGCTGACAATGGAGAATACCACTGTATCACAGCTTGACCTCCTGTACCATAAAGTGTACATATTGTGCATGGGAGAACAATTCTAATAACTCCATGTCAGATGATTTCACCTTCTGAATGTGTGACCTTCCAATATTTGGAACAATTAATATGTAAAAAGTAATAAAAAGCAACATATTTTCTTAAGTTTTATGTAAATATTTCTTACATAGTATTAATAGATAAAAGTACCAAACAGACACTACTACATTTTCCTTGTATTTTCACTTGTTTTAAATCACAACTGTCAGTGGACAGATAAAGCTATTTAAGGTTATTAGCTGTTGCTGAATGTACAAAATGTACCGTGTTATGTACCAATCAATCAGGTTTTTTTCTTGACAGTATAATAAGAAATTATACAATTTATTCCCAGCTTTTTGTATGTTGTTTCCAAGTGTTTTAGAAAACTAAAATTTGCAGTAAGTGCACAAGCATCAGTAGCTTATTACACAGATTTAGGAGCTGTAGAGTGCTGATCACTAAATAGCACTGCTTTACAGAAAATAAAATTTTTATGAAGGTATTCTTTTGACACTGAGCATTAAAAGAAGTCAGTCACACACCTGAATGAGAAGTCATAGGATTAAAAACATGTGAAAAACATTCGAACCTGAGGGTGAGATGATACTGAAAGAGAAGTAGGTGACATAAGCACAGATAAGTAAACTAATGCTGGTATCTTGTAACTTACACTCCTTTGGTGGAAATCATCTGGAGATGCACGTTTCTCACATTGGCCAGAAGGTGGTAGTGTTCTCAAACGTTTTAGTTATTTGAACACAGATGGTTTGCAAGTATAGTGAGACTATTTGAATGAAGTAATTTGTACTGCCTGTACCAAACTAAAAATAACGTCTATAGAACATGGTCATATTTTATCTCACTTGTGATACCCTTGATAAAGCATTCTGGTGGTGTTAGAAAACATTCCTTTCTCACTTCATTCATACTGTGTGTGATTCCTTTTCATTTAATGCTGCTGGATTTCTTTAATGAAGTATTCATTGTTGAAAAGGAACGTAGCAGTTTCTGCCCTCTTATCCACAGCCATTACTCACTGAAAGAGGGGACATTACAAGCCGTAAATACTGAAAGTGCCAAACACCTCTAAGAATGGACTGCTCTGTATAATCAGCTCCTCACATCATACCAAATGCTCTATCAATTGCCTAGTTCCCTGCATATCCAAGGCCCTACAGGAAGTACTTATTTGTATTATTTTTTCCTAGCAGACTCATTTCCTATTTAAGTATCTGACAGAAGTACAGTGTCAGTCAATGCTGTGGCTTTCCAATCCTTCTTAAACAAGTGTGATCGGTCTGGCTAAATGTTGATATTGAACAGTATCAATATTGCTTCAGCTTTAAACAACAACAGGATCAATAATGCTGCAGAACCACAAGGATGCACACCCTGCAGAAGATGTTTCTTTTCCTGAAAATATCTTAAAACTCCACTACTAGATTCAATGAGAATAGAAGGAAGAAGGTGTTTAAGTGGCTTTAGACATTTACCTCTAGACATACTTTTTAAGTGACTTGTGTTGTTGGGTTTTTTTTAATCCTTTTTACCAAACTAATGAGTTATTGCTCTCTTTGTATTAGAGCACTGGTCTACAAAAGTGATTCTTCTTGTGACAGATCAATCCCTCTGACAGCATTTTTCTTAACTGATGTCAGCAAAAAGGATGCCTAAAATAATTTAAATCAAAATTTTAGTGTCTTCTTACATGCTAAGCACTGAGAAGTTCCCTTTAACTTCACTTCCACTTGAACTCTAATGAAATTCCTCAGTACTTTTAGAAATCAGATCTTTATTTACTTTCTCATCCACTTTGGAAAATCTAGGTTGAATTACTGATTGAATTACTGTTCTGCAGAAAAAAAAGAAAAAATATGTTTACAGATTTTGTAGGGATTAAGAACTGTAAGTGTTAAGAAAGTATTAATACCCCGAGGAGCAAAATTAATGTTCATTCAGTGAACAATTATGTAGCTACTGCCTGAAATAGCACAGATGTCTGTTGACCCAACAGATTTAATTTCCAGTGTTGCTTCCTAAAATGTTCAGCTTTTGTGGATGTTCTACATGAGACTTCTAAGAAACTAAAATGAGAAAACATAGATTTGAATCAGCATGAGGAAAAGTGCAGTTATTTCATATAAATCATTTTCATTAATGAAAACACAGAAGAAAAAGGCAGAAGCACTATTCTGCATTTTGACATGTTTCTTTGCAGACAAATATTGCTGGCAATGTTAGCACGGATCCAGTCTTGGAGAAGGTTTTTCCAATAAGCACGTAATGCCATTTTTCCTGTAGAATTCTGCCTGCACACAATTAATCCTTGCATGACTTCGGATCAGCTGCTCCGTGTGCTTACTTCTGTGTCTCCCATACTCTGAAGATGACAAAACAGCGACAGGTCTTGCCATTTCCTGTGAAAATGTAACACTCTCCTTATGAGGATATCACAGAGTGAATACTTGGCAGTTAACTACTGCTAAATGTACTGTGCCTGGGGGCAAGAGAACAGATGGATCTGTACAGCATCTGCTATACAAAGGTATATTTATGTAGCAGTGATCTGCACTCTCATGTTCCATTCCTAACCTAGTCTGTTTTTTTAACGTATATTAATAGTATCACTGGATGATGAGAAGACGTGGAATTGTGCCACACCACCACCTAAGCTACATACACACACACACACCCATCCACCCACCCACCCACACCCCTACACACACAAAACATACACACCCTCACACCCTGTGTGATTACTGGCAAAAGTAAACACCACGTTACTGGAAAATGGCACAGATTTCATTGTTTCTTTTTCTTGTGCACTGACTTGCACAAATATGAAAACTAAAGATTTGAATACCTTACTCCAGGAGGACATGTTTGCACAATTCAGTGAAACCACGACACACACACACAAGAAAAAAAAAAAAAAAGGCCTAAATAAAAACTGCACAACCACTATTGGCCCATGCAACCTTTCCCCAAGGGACATAAAACATATGCTATTGGATTTGTGCACAATGAAAGGTTTTACTAAAACAGTTTGTAGCTCCAAGATTACAGAAATAACTGCTCTGCAATAATAAGAAGTGAAATTGTTAAAAAATAATCCATCCAAAACAAGATTATTCTAAGCCTGTCCTTAATAAAGTGCATTTTAAGTGGCCATACAATTACTATCTGCAATCTGCAGTTCCTTCCTGTGCTGCAGCAACAGGGAGCTCTGGAGTCAGAAGGGAAAGGCAGGCAGGATTTGTTTGTTTTGCTTTCCCTAGCCAAAGGTCTCAGATTTATCAGGCTGCTTGTATGTTTGCACACTGGCTAACACAATAAGCCTTGGTCCCCAGTGTATTTGCCTAGTACTACAACATAAATAACATCTACAAGGAGAGCCAAAAACGCAGACCCCTCACCACAGCTGAGGTGCACATAAATGAGCTCTTTGCTACAACACAAGTCTGAGTCATATTAAAATTTATGATAGCACATAACCTCTGAAGCACATGAACCACCACATTTCCTGTGAGAATGCAAGATGAAGCAGAGGTACAAATAGCCTCATAGCAGCGCAGTCAGGTGTAACATAACCTGAAAGATGGACAAATCTAAATCTAAGATTGTTGGAAAGATGCTATAAGCCTTTTTTTTTTTCCCCCCAAATAAAAAAGAAGCAGCAACCATTCTTCCTTCAACTCTCCTGCCAGCTCACCTGCTTATCTTGCACTGCCCCATTAAATGCCATTCAGTTCACCAACTTTGAACCCCACCAGAACAAAAATAAAAATAAAAAAAAAAATCAACAGATGAGAAGAATAGCAGGAAAAGAAACATCAGACCATTTTGTCCCCCTCTTCCCACCTGTGTATAAACACTAAAGAAATTACAGAATCATTCATAGAGTCATAGCAGAGTTTGGGTTGGAAGGGATCTTAAAGACCATCTAGTTTGAGCCTCTGCCATGGCAAGACAACTTTCATTCTATCCAGTTGCCCAAAGCCCCATCCAACCTGGCCTTCAACACCTCCATGGATAGGGCATTCACAACTCCTCTGGGCAGCCTGGGCCTCTCTGCCCTCTGAGTGAAGAATTTCCTAACATAAAATCTAAATCTACCCCCTTAAGTTTAAAAATGTTACCCTCTGTCATATCACTGAACACCTTGATAGAGTCCTTCTCCAGCTTTCTTGTAGGCCTCCATTCAGCACTAGAATGCTGCTCCTTCTCTTCTCCAGCCTGAACAACTCCAGCTGCCTCAGCCTGTTTTCATAGGAAGGTGCCCCAACCTTCTAATCATCTTAGTGGTTCTCCTCTGGATCCACTCCAACAGGCGCATGTTCTTATGATGGGGACCCCAGAGCTGAATGCAGTACTGTAGGTAGGGTCTCACAGAAGTGGGGCAGAGAGGGGAATCACCTCCCCTGCCCTGATGATCGTGCTTCTTCTCGTACATTTCAAGACACAAGAAGTTTGCTTTCTGAGCTGCTGACTCATGTTGAGCTTCTCGTCAACCAAGACCCCTAAGTGTTTCTCCCTCACGCCTGGCCTACTCTGTATCTGTGCTTGGGATTGCCTCAACCCAGGTGTAGGACCCGGGCCTTGTTGAACTTTACAAGGTTTGCATAGGCTTACTTCGAGACTGTCCAGGTCCCTTTGGGTGGCATTTCTTCCCTTCAGCGTAATCTGCTGAAAATCTGCTGAGGATGCACTCAGTTGTACTCTCTATGTAACCAACAAAGATGTTAAATAGTGTCAATCCCAGTACTGACTCTAAGGAACATCACCTGTTCCTGGTTACTTGTGGTGTGCAACATGATGTCAGGTAACAACTCTTTGCAGCCATCCAGCCAATTCTTTATCCACCAACTGGTCCATCTGTCAAACCTAGGTCTCTCCAGCTTTAGAATCAAGGATGTTGTCCAAGCTGGTATCAAATGCTTTGTACAAGTCCACATAGATGACATCAGTTGCTTTTCCCTTATCCACCAGTGTCGCAACCCCGTCGTAAAGGCCACCAAACTTGGCAGGCATGATCTGCCCTTAGTGAAGCCATGATGGCTATCATCACCTCAGCTTCATGTTTTCCATGTACCTTAGTATAATCTCCAGGAGGATTTGCTACATGATCATACCAGACACTGAGGTGAGATTGTAACATCAAAATAGTCTTCGCTGGCCAAAAAGGATTTTGCTTGCCAATGACAAGTAGTAGTATGTGATCATAGGTAGTTCATTTTTCCTTTAAAAAAGTAAGATTAGATTTTCAGCATCCTTGGTAGCACAACGCTGACTATGCAGCAGTATTCCATGATTTTTAAGGTTCTGCATTAAGCAGATACCAAATTTTCCACGGTTGGTTGGAAAGTATCCCATTATATGCCTTCACAGCATGTAATTCTATCACTGTTAACACTTGAAATCAGCAACAGCAACCATGTGCAAACACTCTCGCTCTAGTCACTGCATTATGTGCAGCTAAACTGAGCTATCTATGATTGTACTGTTGGATTCCCAGGGTGTGCCCACGCTCTGCAGGAAAGGAAAGGCTTGCTTGTAATGATTTGGTTTTTTTCCACTTCAAAGAAAGAAGTGTACTGTGAAGAATTCCACCTGTCTCCTTTCAGCATTGTATTAGAAAGATGTCAATTTTGGCATTTTTATTTATTATGTTTCATAAAATAGTTGGTATTTTACAAGGTCTGTGAGAGCCATTGAGGTAACTAAGGAGCAGGATCTGAGTACGTGACCTGCATTTAGTTATGGGTAAGTCCAGTGTTGGGTGCCATCCCATGCATGAGGATCATGTTGCATCATTCAACAGCTGTGGCTTTGATGTGCCTCCATGCTAATTAAAGGACTGGATTAAGGGACACCTGTTTAGAACAGTTCCCAGGCAGTCACTTGTGTGCACTGCCCAGCAGGACTACTCTGCATTCTGGCCTATAAGCATTTGCTTCAGCAAGTAAACTTTTAAAGAAAGTGACTTGCTGGTACTGAATGGAAGCAAAATCTGAGTAAGAAAGAAACCGTTAAGATGCTGCATTAATAAAATTGTTTTTACACAAATGTCTCACTCGGATATTGGGTTTGATGCTGGCTAGGTGGTGGAGGGATTGGCTCATTTTTCATTAGATTGGTCATTTACATGGCTTTTGGCCTCATGCAGATTTGCAGGTGAGATACTAGGCAGGAGGAGATAATCTTAAGGGGCACTTCTGTGATTCCTTTGAGTGTACCTAATACTCCCTGCACTGTCTGATAGAACTGAAGGGGATTATGACTGTGCAGTAAAATGTCTGGCATGTATAGCTGCTAGTTAAAGGAATTATAAGCAGTGGCCTTTGTCCCAAAATCTCAATAGTTTTACTTCACAGCAATTACAGTAATTTCAAGTTTTTCTCTTTATCATATCTAACACAGGAAACAATTCTTAGTCTATCATCATTTTTCCTTCTTATTAATCCACTGCAGTTTCAAGGCCATTAATACACAGAGGTTGTGCCTTATCTTTTTTTTTTTTTTGACATCCTCTGTGTCTGTGTGTGTGCATATGTATGTATTATTCATATGCTACAAAGAAAAAGCATATCTTTATATCTAAGTATATAGATTATAGTATTCCTATTTTCAACGCAGCTGTTCAAAAACATGTTTGCATACTTCCTTACTTATCAGACTACACACTAAACTCAAATTCTTCTGTCCTTGAATGCTTTTGCTTCACTTAGCCTTTTCCAGGCATGTCTGTGGCTGTCTGATTGACCTCTTCTTTGCACGAGCTCCCTACGAATTCCCTTCCTGCAGGGCAACCTCTTTTAGAGACTTGGGATGTCTCACCAAACATGGGTTCACACTGTAAGGTTCAGGGAATGGGGATATCACAGGACTGGGGTTAAGGTGGAGTCCCTAGCTCCAGCCCTCTCAGGTACAAGTTTTCAGCATCATAAAAGTAGATGCAGGACAACCACAATTGCAAACTCAGGAGAGGCAGAGACTGATCACTGAAACTCCGTAACAGAGGGTTTGGCTCCCTGCGCACATCTCTTTCCCCTACTCTTTAACTAAAATAAGGTTTGTGATCTGGAAATCTACAGGACACAAAGAGCAAGAGCTAGCTCAGGTGTCTTCACTTATTTCCAGCCATGTCAAGATGAATGAAGTACCTTTAACAAAAATAATTTTGAAATTATTGAAGGTTTACCTCATCATTGATGTTAAGACCACGACTCCTTGCATGTTCTCTGTCGCATCGGTGAAGTTTTTCATTGTAACCCTCTGGTCTTTTAAAAATGGAGTCGTAGGTGGAAACCCCTCCTGCCTTTAGAAAAGGAGAAAAAATGGCTAAATAATAGTCCTCTTTAAATTCATATGATATAGAATACATACAGAGGATTCAATAATAAAGCAGTGGACACATAACATCAGAGTATGACAACTGTAACACATCTGAGCTGCCATTAGCAGGCTCGGGTCATTCTTCTGAAATAATGTGCAATAAAAATACTGAATAATATGTGATTTTTTATTTTTTGATCTGTCCATCTTTGAAATTTCCCTTCTGGCAAATTACCTCAATTTTTCCCTCCAATCTGTTGAAACTTTGGAACAGAAAATCGATTTGGAATGAAAAATGTGAAGGTGCCCCACAGTGGAACCGCCATTTAATTTCTAATTAAAGCAGAACCGAGAAGAGCTCAGAAACCTGCCACAGTGGTAATCCTGTAATCTCTCATACATGAAAATAAAGTAAACCACAACGCAGAACATTGCTGTATTTATGATATCTGTTGTCAGTTACAGCTGAATAACATGAAAGATCTGATCTGCTAAAAAATGCATTCATGAAATCTAATTTTTAAAAAAGTGGAGGAATTTCAAATACAAAAAGCATTCTCATGAAAAGGACAAAATCCCCTGCTGTAATATGCTGTCAGTTGCTTATGTTCTTCATTAAAAAGTCAACGGATTACTGGTTTTATACATGACGTTTTACAAACCAAAAAAAATTGTGCATTTTCTTCTGCCTTTTTTTTTTTTTTTTTTTTTTTTTTTCCCCTTTAACCTTTAAATGTTATAGTGTGCTTAATTTAGCCTTTGGAGAATTCATGCCCTTTGAGACTCACCATTACTGTTCTCCAAAAACATTCAAGTCAGGGCAGGTCAAGAAGGCTCCCTCAGAAGGAAATCTCAGGCAAGAATGCTAGCAATGCATCACTGTAATCACACGTTTCTATTGGAAGCACAGCTGTACTACTTGATTCTGCCAAGAGGTGGTTTGATTTGCAATCTATACATCCCTTCATTCCTCAGAAATGATCAAGTCTCACAGAATTTCAGGCATATTCAAGAGCATCTTGCATCTGATTTGCTACTTTCATTATTCCCATGCTTCCTTGATTGTCCTCTCCTCTCCACATTACCAGTTTTGTTTAGAATTTCGGTAGGCATCTAATCTCTGCTCACTATTGGGAATGTTACTCGCTCCTTTGTTTTTCTTCATGTGGCATTATGTGTCTATTACTTGTTACCTGTGTCAGAGCAGATGATTTTTTCTGAAACTTGCAGATAGTAGCCAACCTGTTAAGAGTTAGCGCTTGTCCCTGGTCATCTATTTAAGTTCTTCTGTACAGAAACAATTCTATGCTCAAAATCCTGCCTCTTTGCTGTTATTTCCCAATTATTAAATGCAGACTTACTAGGACGAGGTGGAGGGGCATCCTCTGTGTACTGCTTCTGGGGCTAAGCACTTTGCATTAATATACATTAATATACATTAATATTCCAACCACACAAAAAGTAGATAAAAGCTTTTTCTGTATCACAGAAGGGGAAGCAGGACAATAAAATGGATATAATAACTTACATAAAGTAGTACAGGGAGTAGTTGTCAGCCAAAGGATTAACAAGTGGAAATTTCTGGCATTGGGACACATGCTAGAACATCTTTCTCTATTTCTCTCTGCTTTGGCCTCTGACATGCAGGTTTCATTTTCTTAAGTATTTTTTTTTTTTTTTTTAAATACATTTTTATTTACAAACCTTGTCACTGGGAGTGTGAAAGCAAATTTTGTATTGTAAACCAAAGTACCAGCATATGGTTGTTAATTCCATGCAGATTGAAGAGCCATTCTCCCTGCCAGCTCCATCAACCCCAAATACACCAGCCAAGCCCTCTGACCTTCCCTAGGCCTACTCCTGTTGTTCTCTGCCTTACCACACTCTGTTATGCACAACACCACCTGTGCTCCTTAACATCTGGCATGTTCCCAAAGCGATGCTGAAATCCACAGGACTGAATCTAAAATGGCAAATCTTGTCTTTCAACAATGCCACGCAAACAGTGCTGGCAAAATAAATAAATAAATAAAAAGTGTCACAGAATCACTAGGTTTGGAAAATATCGCCAAGATCATTCGGAACAACCATCAGCTCATCCCCACCAACCATGTCCTTCAGTGCCACGTCCACATGGCTTTTGAACACCCCCAGAAACCGTGACTGCAGCACCTTCCTGGGCAGTCTGTGCCACTGCCTCGCCGCTCTCTCTCTGAGCAGAAATTACTGCTAATATCCAACCTGAATCTCCTCTGGCACAACTTGAGGCCATTCCCTCCTGTCCTACTGCTGTTACCTGGGAGAAGAGGCTGACCCCCACCTGACCACAGAGCTCCTTTCAGGGAGTCGTAGAGATTGATTAGGTCTCCCTGAGCCTGCTCCAGACGGAACGATTGAGCTTCTGTCCTTCATCACTGTGCAGCCACTGAGCAACCTTTTATCTGCCTTCTGCACCATCCAGTGACACTTTCCTTTACTACCTTTCCCCCCTCAGCCTGCAATTCACACCCTGGAAACGCCAAACCTCCTTCTCAACCACAAAGTGCTACTGCCCGGTGCCCTGCACTGCCCTACCCAGCCGCCCCTCACCTGGGCCACCCGGTGGAAGTAGCTGAGCTCCGCGGGACCTTCCCGCCGGGGTGGGATGTAGCTGAAGGCTGACAGAGAGGAGATGGGAGGCGGGCGCCTCCTCCCCAACCCGCTGCCGCCTTCCTCCACGTCCCCTCCTTGCTCCCCTGCGCCCGCTATGGCGGCGGACGCCATGTTGCCGTTACCCGGTAACGCTCTGCCGTCTCTCGGCACCGCGGAACGGGTTGGCAAGGGGGAAAGCGGCAGGCGCAGCACTCGGGGTGTGTTTATGTGTGAGGCGGTTTGACAACGCGGAGCCCTCGGCCCGGGCGAGAGCTGGTCACGTATTAAACCTGGAGTCGCACACTGACGAGCATGATGCGCGAGGTTTCAGCTCGGCTTTAAGCAGCAGTCTCAGAGCCTCCTCACTGGGCAGCGTGCCCTGCTCCCAGCCCAGCGCGGCCTCCGACACCTTCCTCCTTCCAGCTCCTGATTCATTTCTGTCTCTGGAGGCTGGGAAAGCAAATGAGAACAAAGCTGGACCAAAAGAGATTTTTATTTATTGATTTGTTTTCCCCAAGGGGATCTTTTGCACTTTGCCAAAATTCCCTTCCGTGGGAGCATTTTCACACTTGGAGAGGCTGAATAACAAACACACCAAAACATGGTATTTCCAACAGAACGAGGCATCTGCATCTTGAAGAACCTGCCAACACTCAGTGCCAAGCTAGGCATGTTTTTCTGAGTTTTAGCCCTTTCAGGTTGATTTGAAATCTTGCATGCTCACTTTGGGGCACTGACAGTGAGCAACTCCCAGCTGCAACTTCAGTTAAGTGATTAGCTCTAAAATTGCTCTACCCCAGTAACACCTGGCTCCTAGTTTCAATATTCATTTATTTGCTTATTTTATATTAATGCACACGTGTAACTGACTGTTCTCTTTCCTCCTGTACTGCTTGGGGATATGTGACTAGCTTCATTTTGTGCCCTGGCACAGGCTGCCCAGGGCAGTGGCCACGATACCAACCTGGTGGAGTTCAAGCGGTGTTTGGATCTGCCCTCAGACATATGGTCTTGTGTTTGGGTAGTCCTGTGTGGAATCAGGAGTTGGACCCAGTGAGCCTTTTGGGTCCCTTCCAACTTGGGATATTCTATGATTCTATAGTGTTGCTACTCTTTTTGGCAATTGCAGTATTAGTGTCATAGGTGCAATACTGCCATTATTATAATTGTTAGTATTTTTTTGCAAGCTGTTTTGAATACCTAAATCGATACCTAAATCTTCATAACCAATTCCTGTAGGCATCTTGAGCCCACATTTGATGTAAACTTCCCATTTCTACTATACGGCTTCCATTCTCCATTCACTAATAAACTGAAAAATGTAACTAGCATCTTGCTTCTTTTCTAGTGCAATGGTGAGAAATTTGTACTCTGTAGACTTTTAATCATTCATGACAATTTCCATCTGCTTATCTAATAATACCCCTCTACCAATTTGGGTTCTCCTTGTAACATTAGTCAAATTACCACAGAATATGTGAGCAGTGGAGTTTTAAACAATAGTTGTCTGACATCAGCTTCCTACACAGAGATGCCACTGTGCAAGTGCTGTTTTGTAGTTTAGTACGAGCACCAAGTGACTGCAAACCATAAAAAGCAGTTCAGCTGAAGCTGTAGCTGTAAATACAGCCACAAGAAATTGTTCACTAGAAGTCTAAACTAAGGTACACAGGATTCCTGAAGTCACATTTGAAATGTTTCTCTCTGATTCTGCTCTCAGTGTGGCAGACAATAGATTTGAAAAGATGAAAGAAGAGGTATTTGCAAGTTTTCCCATCAGGGTCAGGTAACCTCTAAGCAGCAAAGTTGAGACTGGCGCTGTGAAGAAGCAGCAGGAAGCAGTCATAGGTGACTCAATACCTATCTCCAGGACTGGTGCATCCACCTGCTGGGTTTTATAGACATGGAAAACACTTCAAGACAAGACATCTATGATCTGGTGCGAGTTGGTTTCCACCTATCTCAGTGGGGAAAATGTTTCTTATCCTTTAACTTGGCAAGACTGATTGAGAGGACTTAAACTAGGATCGATAAGGGAAGGGGATACCATTAGGAGCACTGGGGTTATGCCAAAGGATGATGTGGCACTCTCTGAGGCAAGGCTAATGGGATCATCTGTGTCATTCCAAAGAACACAGCATATTCAGGAGCATTCTGAAATGCTTATATACTAATGCACATAGTATGAGAGACAGATGGGATGAACTGGAAGATTTGCTCCTCTCCCAGAGCACTGATATCATTGTGAGACTTGGAGGGATGAGTCCCATGACTGAATGCTGGGATGGAAGATTTTCAGCTGTTCAGGAGGCATAGGCCAAGCAGGCTGGGGGGAGGTGTTGCATTGTACATAAGGGAGAGACTAGACTGAATTGGTCATTGACGTTAGGGATGATGTGGCAGGGAGCTTCTGGATGAGGATTAAGGAGACAGGTAACAAAGTGGAAGTTGTTCTAGGTGTCTACTGTCTACTGCCCACCCAGGACAGTAGCATAGATGAGCTATAGGCAATTAGGGGATTTTTTGGGATTGATTATCTCGTCCTTATGTGAGACTTCACCTTCCCAAACATAAACTTGGAATATCATACTATTATGACAAGTATGTCTGAAAATTTCTGAAGCATGTGTAAGATAACATCCTGTCACAAGTACTGAGTGAACCAACTATAAGAGGAGCCACCCTGGGTCTGTTGTTTGAGAATAGGAAAATCCTCCTGGAACTAGGGCAAAAAAAGAAAATATATGAGCTTTAGAAGCAAAGTCTGGCTTCAGAGGGAGAGTACAAGGTGGCAGTTTGCATCTGCAGGGAAAAGAGTGAGAAAAACCAAAGCTTATCTTAGTTGACAGTGGCTACTGTGATGTCAGATACACAAAAAATATTTTTCTAAGTATGTCAGTAGCAGCAGGAGGTCTAAGGAAAACACTGCACTGATACTTGATGGTCAGCTAACAAATAGGGATGAGAGAGCGGAGAAGGCATTGAATGACTTTTTGCCTTAGTTTCTAGTATTAATGATAGATCTTGGACTGCCTGGTCTTTTGTGTTGAATGACTGTGACCAGAGAAGCCGTGACTTTCCATCAGTAGTCACAGAATTGTAAGGGCATGAGAGAAGATCCAGGAAACTACAGACCTAGTAGTCTGATTTTGGTCCTGAAAAAGTTATGGAGAAGGTTATCCTGGGGATACTGAAAGGTATTTAAGGCACATAGCCAAAATGGAAAAGTCCTCTAACCACTTGGTGGGTGAAGGAGAGGCATTGCACATATTCTTTGATACTGTCTCTCATGGCATCCTTTTGGACAAATTGTGCAATGGTGTGATAAACAGGTTCACACTATGCTGGGTGATGATCTGAATTTTAGAGCTTAAAGTGTCCTACATGTGAATGGGGCTACATCAGACTGGCAGCTGGTCAGTAGCAGCTGGTCAGTAGAGTACTCTTCAAGGCTCGGTTCTGGGGCCAGTCCTATTTAATGCTTTTTATCAGTGATCTAGATGCAGCTCAATGCATCCTTAGCAGGTTTGCTGATGATACTAAACTGGGAGGTGGTGTTGACTCTGGAGGGATCAGAGGGATCTAGATAAGATTGGAAGATTAGATATGATCAGTAGCATGAATTACAACAAAGGAAAATGCCAGGTTCTGCAACTGGGATGGATGCAGGTACAGACTGGGAGAAGAATGGCTGGAGAGCATCTCAGGAGGAATGGCCTTGGGGGTGTCAGTGACAGCGTGAGCCAGCAGTATGCAATGGTGGACAAGTGGACAAACTGCATTTTGGGGTCCACTGAACACAGCATAGCCAACTGATCCAAGGAGGTGATTCTCCTCGTCTATTTAACACTGATGTGGCCTCGCTTTGAATATTACATGCAGATCTGCTGCTCCACAGTATAAAATGAATTTTAAGGTCCTTGAAAGCATCTAGAGGAGGGCAACAAGGCTGGTAAAAGGACATTTGGGCTGTGTAGTCTGGAGGAGGCCGAGGAGTGACCTCATTGCTCTCTGCAGGTCCCTAAGGAGGGGAAGTGCAGAGTGAGGTGCCAGGCTGTAGTTCCTGGTCACCAATGACAGGACACGTGGGAAAAGCACAAAGCACGCCTTTTTTTACTGTAAGAGTGATGAAACATTGGAACAGACTTCTTAGAGAGGTGGTTGATGCCCTATGGCTTTCAGTTGATAAGAAGCATTTGGACAATGCCCTCAGTAAGATGCCTTGGCTTTTGGTGAGCCCTGGAATGCTTTGGCAGTTGGGCTAAATGATCTCTGAATGTTCCTTCCAACTGAACTATTCTCTCACTTCTGCTCCCCTCCCTACAGCTTTTATACTTATAACAATGTCTCAAAGGCAGGATGAGTGTTCTGAAATATCAAACTGGTTGTTGGAAAAACTTAGCAAGAAAATTTGTCAAATTAATTTGGTGAGGCAAATGGTCAGAGGGGAGACGATGATGAGACAGAGATGGTGACAGGATGGACCCAAGAAGACAGATGACATGTAACTAAACAAGCTATTGAAATGCAGAAAAAACACAGTAGCAGTCTTCTTACTGCAAGGTGACATACCTGTTTCAAGCTGGTGGCACTTACAGCAGAGATGGCTAGGCAGCTGTTAAATCATAGCTCAGCAATTCAGTTCCTCTCCTTGCTGTTTGGCCTCAGCATGTATCAAAAAGCCATGTATTCCTGAGCCATGAAAGAGAGACAGCCTTTCCAACAAATGCTGTGAGGCATCATCCTTGAAAAAGAAGCTGAAGCACAGATGACTCTAAAACTGTCCAGTTTCTGCTGTAATAGGTTTGGTCCTCAAGTCAAGCCATTCATCTCACACAAGTGCTTGTTTCTTTAAGGCCCTGAATGAGTGACAGACTGTCTCTTGCAGGAAGAAAAAAAACCTTCATACTGAAGTACAACCAAAAGGAAAATTAATTATCAAAGGACAAGGTAATCATCATGTAAAACTAAATCCGTCAGCATATAAACATTCCTGATGATATGCCTAATTGTTTGTCCTGATACAAGGTTCTGAAAACAATATGACAGACTTTCAACACCTCTGCCTATGAATGTGCACAGCCTTCTGTTTAGAAATGAGTAGGCTGAACTGCTACCTGCACCGCAGTGGAAAAAGGTAAGGTCTGTAGATAGTTTATGAAGTAGATAAACCATTAAAGGAATGTGAAGAGAATTAATAATGCTTTGCATACAGGATAGATAGGATGCTGATGTTTGTTTCTGGAAACAGCATTTGAATAGCATTACTTTACAGGTGATCACAACTACTTCTGTAGTCAAGAAAAATATCTGCAAGCCTAGTCTTCCTTCCTGCCCCTTGGTAGTCCTCCATAAATTGGCACACAGCACTGTCTTTGATAAAGAAATGCAGCAGGCTCCCAAAGTGTTCATGTTTGGGTTTCATTTTCCCAGATCACAGTGAATCACGCTTATATTCCTTGTGTGGCTGCTGCCTCATGTTGTGGAGCACTCTTGCATTCTGCTTTTTGAAACTCATGACCTTGGTGACTCGCTAGCGACCTGCAAACTGCAGCATCAGCATGGAAGCCGTAGAACTCAAACCTTAAAGTTACGCAGAAAATACGATCATCAGAAAACTTTCAAGTTATACAGTGACACTCAAGTAGCGTTATATCCAGTTACTGCGGAATATAAAATTTCTGCAGGAGAGGAAGAAGGAGGATCTCTGGGTCAGTC